GTCCACTCACCTGCAAATGGAGGTGTTTACGAAGGTGTGGGGAGGATTCAATGACATGATGACCTGTGAAATGTTTCTTTTATGTAAGGGGGTATTATAATATGAGAACTCTAAAGACAGCTTCTTTAATTGAAGGAGAAATTTGAAGTCATTTTTTTATTTCTTTAAATGTTATTGGAGAAATTTAACATAATTTGATAGAGGACTCGAACTACATATTAGAAGACTTTAATTTCTAGCTATAAATTAGCTTCATAACTTTATATAAGATCTTCATTTCTTAAGTCTTATTTCTTTGTTTATACAGGAGTCCAAATTGTATGGGTGTGTGGAAGGGGGTGTGCATTTAGAGAAAGTAGTTTTACCTGATTTCTTGGTTGGGTTTGCCTGAATTAAAAGTTTCTAATTCCATGATATGGTGAAAACATAGCATTTAATTTGTTTAAGAATTGGACCTGTCATTTTTTAAGCCCCTTCTAGTTATGAGTCTAAATAAAACTGTAGGATACCCCAAATTCTGAGGCCTGAAAAGCTTAACAATAAAAATTTAACTGAAGATTAAAGAGCATATGTGTTATAGAACATTTGGCACTTTTATTGTCTTATTACTCTTCCTGTATTATGATGCACTGAAAAAAGTAATAAATATAAACTTTTTGCTTTTCTGTAGTTTATTTAATAGAGTCAATGAAAAAAATAATGTACGTATAGTAATTTGTTTTTCTAGTAGTCCTAATGGATTTTGTTACTTTTGAATACAAATCTAAAGACGAAACCATTCTTCTACTTCTTATAACTGAAAGAATGTATTCTGTTTTATAACATTTTATGTGTCTAATGCTTTTAGGTCTCAGTCTTTTTGTTGCATTGTTTGGGGCATTGGCTCAACAGTATGGCATAGTAATTGAAGAAGACCTTAGAAACCATTTGTATGCTTTTGACAGGCCTATATTGCACATATTCATCACCTAGTATTTGCTAGGCATTGTTTTAGGTGCAGAAGACAGCAGTAAACTGGATGTACAAGGAACCTCATGGAGTATATATATTTAGGATAGGAAAGTAGAAAGAAATAAAAAATCTAAAAAGATACTTTCATGTAATACTATGAAGATAGACAGACAAAACTGGGTTTGTATCCTTACTATATGTTACTAGCTGGGTAACCTTTGGCAAGTTAGTTAACATTAAATATGTTATTTCCCACATCTAGGATGCAGAGGTGATCATTCTTACCTGATAGGGTAATTTTTAGCATGAAAAAAGAAATTTTATTGAAAGATGTAGCATAGTTTCTGAAACTTATCAGGTCCTCAATAAATTAATACAATTTCTTAACCAATTCAATATGTTCAGCTCTTCATTAGTCTAGGATTTGCTTTTCTGCTCTTTTTATTCTGTTGAGCTTATCTCCTTCTTCCTTAACTAATAATAATAATAATGGTGATGATGATGATAATAATAAATAAGACATCAAGGAAAGCTGAATAACTCATTTGTTAGTGTTTAGGCAAATAGTTAGAAGTTGGATGCTGGATTATTGGAAATATCAACTAATGAGGTTTTTGGCATGATGCATGGAAGATATATCTGACCAATAGACTGAGAGTTTCTTAGAATATCTATAATATTCTAGAATATTAGAATATCTATAGAATATATCTAGAATATCTATAGTTTTCCTGATAACTTAGTAAAATAGATGGGGGACTTCAGCCAGTGGTATTTTTATTATAGTTCTTATCTCTCTAAATTATAATTTGTCATGCATTCCTGGAATACAGCCTTCTTCATAATGTATGCTTAGATTGAGTCATATGAAATTGCTTTTCTTATGTCAGAAAATGGTCAAATATTGTCTATATCGTAGAAGTCAAATTAAATGTTTTTAATATACACTTGATTTAAATTAAAGATTTTTATGTCCATGATCATAAATTAAATAAGATCAATTTTCTTTTTTTGATTTGTCTTTATTTTAAAATCAGAATCAGGATTATACCAGCCTCAAAAAATGAGATGAATAACTTTTTGTACATTTTTCCATGTTCTGGAACAGCTTACATGGGATAAAAATTCATTATAACTTTAAATCTGATAGAATTCAAATGTAAAACTATCTAGGACTGGAGTATTTTTGAAAGGAAATATCCTTGATGATCATTTCAGTTTCTTTAATAATTACTAGCCTATTGTAATATCTATATTTTTCTTTGATCAGTTTTTGCAGAGCCTGTCTTATTAATGTTTTCAAAGATCTACACTTTACTTCTATTGATTTTTATTGTAATGTTTTTTATTTGTTTTGCATATATACATATTTTTTTGGTTTGGTGGTGATAGTTCTGTTTCATTAACACATTCCCTTTGCTATTTTCTCTCTTACATTTTTGAATTTGCTAAGTGGTTCTTTTTCCACCTTCTTAGGTACAATGCTTAACATATTAGTTTTTAACTTTTCTTGTTTTCTGATAAGTTATTCAAAAGTATAAATAGTCTTCTAAGTTCTGCTTTAGCTATATCTTTTAAGTTTGACCTCTAGAATTGTGGTTTTTTATTCAATTGTGAATACTGTCTTTCTTAATTTCCTATATTGTTTCCATTTTAAATTTTGGGCTTTTTACTAACATTAATTTATTTCTAAACACAAGGTAGTTTTAAAGCTATTTTTTGTTTTTAGTTTATAGTTTTTTATAGTTTTATTGCACGTATTTAAAGACACAAAATGTATGATATTGGTTCTTTGAGATTTACTGAAGTTTCTTTTATGACCCAATTACTGTTTCAGTAATTGTTCTGTGTGCTCTGCCTCCTCCAAAATGTGTATTTTCTGTCTGTGATATGTAAAATTTTTCTTATATCTAATACTTTGAGCTTATTGTATTCTTAAAGTCTTCAGTATCTTTTTTTAAAAAATATTTTTCTGCTTTATTATTTTCTGACAGGGATGTGTTAAAATTTTGTTTTATTTTGCTTGCTTAGCTGTACTAACATGTCTTAACCATCTTACCCTATAAATCCAATAAGGCAGATGAAAGCATCGCTGCTTTTGTTGAATCTTGGGAAGAGGTCTCAAATAGGGTGTCCTCTTAAGACCTCATACTTTAGGTACCCCAAGGCACTTCTGCAGAATTTATAAATTGGAATATATTATTTCTGTAAACAATCTATCAATTGACCTTATAACCTTGTACTTATTTTCTTATCGTCCACCCACTAACCTAAAGAATTTTTAATTCATAGCCAAATGGGTTCGCATTCTCCTCTTCACCCCACCTGCATATATGCTTTTCCACTTGTCATTTCACCTACCAGGACCCTTCTTTACATAGCCAAATTCTACACTTTATTTAATTCTCAAATTCTGTTTCTTCCATAAAATCTCTTCAGTTCTTAGAACCCTAAAAGCAATTATTGCTACCACAATTAATTTAGTATTTATACACTATCTTAATTCACTAATAAATTAATATTTATTCATTGCCCAGCACTTGTGGTGGTTGGAATTTCTATTTAAATAACTGGAGTTTAATATTTCTTTGCTTCTATTGTGTTACTGTGTGAGCAGCTTGAGGGTAACATGTCTTGTATGTCTCTGTTCGTTATAGTACCTGCATAGGGTCTTCCTCTTAGTGTTGACCAACAAAAATACTTTGAGCTTATTTACTTCAATGTTAATATGACTTATTTTTTTCCTGCATAGAGGACAGTTTTGTTACATTGCAAGTCCTTTATTTTACTGTATTTTCTTAAATTTACTCTCTTATATGGCAGTATTGTTTAGTCTGATAAAGCAATACACCAGACTAGACTGTCTTCCCTTCGCCCTCTTCCTAAAGATAATTATTTGAGTTAAGCTTTCAGTTTGCAAGGTTTCCTCCGAAGGACAGTGAACATGATCTAAGTCAAGCATTAGACTGAGAATAGAGAGTTCCAGGACAGCCACAATATAGTAAGTTGTTACTCTGCTGATGAGATGTTTGCATCAGAACTATAGTAGTAGTCATCCAGCCTTTTAGCCCTGGCAATGCACCTGGACTGAGCTGGTGCTGTGCGGGGCACAAAACATGTTTAAAGCACTCTTGTTTCCCACACTGATCTCCCAGTGTGATTTTTGTTGCACAGAACGAACACGAGTGAAACATAGCCAGCCAAATCCTAAAACAGGTAATATAGGCCATAAAATGGAGGTAGCAGGTGAAACAGAAGACTGAATTAAAAAGTTATAGAATACATATAAGTCATGAGCTTTTAAGTTCTTTAATGTGAATTTTAGTTCATTTTTCCGTATCCATGAAGTAGATAATTCAATGCCTGTTTTACAGATGAAGTAGAATGTCATAGAGATAAATAATGTATTAATTATTGGATATTGAGTAAGTGGTAGATTTGCGGATTGAATTCAGAGCTGACAGCTAAACTAACATTCTTAATTCCTCTTGTTTTTACTTACATACTGCACGATATTATTTTGTAGGCTTTGAATACTTTAAATAAATGTAATTATTTAGTATTAATTGTTGATTTTCTTTTCTACTGAACTGCAAGTCCATGAAAATAGAAACCATGTCTGTTTTGTTCAGCATGATACCTTGAGGACCAAACTTTGTGATTGGCACATAGCTGGTGCTCAGTAAATAGTCTCCTCTGTGCCACCCCCTTTTTTTCCAGAGGGGATACAGGAAAGCCAAGGTTTCTACCACGTTGTTTTGAATGTCTTAAGTAAAAAAATAATGCATGGAAAGTCTGGGTCAGTGTGAACCAGAACAATCAGGAAGGTTTAATGGATGAACTAACTTTCTTAGATGGAGATAAACTAATTCTTAACAGTAACCTCTACATAAAGCTATGAATAACCTCAAATACTTCTTTCTCAAAACAGAATCATTCATTGTAGAGGAACCACAGTAAGGATGGGGAAATGCTGACATCTCTGTAATACAGATTGAACTACTTCATTTAATTTTCTTTTTATCTTTTTTTTTTTTTCTTTTAAATAGAGAAAATCAGGCAAAGATATGCAGATCTGCCTGGAGAATTGCACATTATTGAACTAGAAAAGGATAAGAATGGCCTTGGACTCAGCCTTGCTGGTAACAAAGACAGGTCACGCATGAGTATCTTTGTGGTGGGAATTAACCCAGAAGGACCCGCTGCCACAGATGGACGAATACGTATTGGAGATGAACTATTAGAGGTGAGGGGCATATATGCTTTTTATTTCTTTTCTGGTGAGGTGAAAGAGTACAGGAGATAGTGTACAGTAAAATGAGGTGAAGGGAAAGAATGTTGACGAATAATATTTTTTAAAACTTTAAAATCATTTTTCAAAGCGAGAACAAAAATCATACTGAGTAAAAATTAATCTCTCAAAATAATTTAGGAACCCTTAAGTAAAATCTCATGGAAATATATTAAAAGAATAGGGCTTGTTTGTACTGTCTATTCAAAAAGCTCAAAACTAATTTGATTATTAATCTAATATCAGTATTTATCTAAACTCTCTGGGTTTTGAATTAACTATAAGTATGACATTTGTTTTTGTTATTGTCGTTTAGTTTTGAGGAAGATGTTAAGCCATTGAAACCTGTGATCTGATTGTCAAGGAATAGTTAATATCAGTAAAGTTGGTGATGTGGGTTAAGGCCATATAAGTTCCTTATTTAGGAAAAGGATAGAGGTAAGAGAAGCTAAGGAGATGACTGATCCTCTATTAATTACTGTCTAGACGATTTCATCAATAAACTGAAAGGTTATTTTTATTTTCTTAAACTTAAAATCAGGGTTTCTGTTCTGAGTTTATCTCAGTTTGATATTCATTTGTTTGTTCAATCACTCAGCTAATAATTTTTCTTGGGACTAGACACAGAAAAAGGAATGAATACATCCATTCCCTTCATTCAAATTGCTCACAGTCTAGAGGAAGAAACAGACATTACAAGATTGTTACACCTCAGAATGAAAAATGTAATAACAACAACAATGGCTAATGTATACTCGGTATTAGACACTGCAACCTCTGTTACTGATGAGGTCACCAAGTAAATGATGGTGTTGGGATTCAAAATCGGGCAGTTTGACTTCTTAGATCTTTGTTCACCCGTGTGCTCTGAGGCTTCTTGTATAAAATGCTTCAGCATTTGAACATTAAAGGAAGCTAAATCACAGAGGCATGGAGGGTCAGACTGCTTACTTAAAATGAGGGCTTCCTGATTTTGTGATTTCCTCTTCGGACTCTGACTTAGAATTCACAGTCATCTGTAATCTGATGTGCCTAATGATATCTACAACCAAAGCTGCTCAGACACTGTAACCATTAGTGTCACTTCTTTTTTCCAAGCCCTGATAGTTTCTCCCCATCTAGAACCTATTTCCACAAAGAAGTCACTTCTGGAATTACTTTTCTTTTCTTGTTCTTTGTAATATAGCTTCACGAAAGAGACCCATATTCAGTAGCAGCACTTACTAGCACAATCGTTAATTAAATAAAAGGTGACAGGATGTATTAACTAATATATTTCATTGCTTCAGGTTTATTTCCTTTGGCTGATGTTTAGGGACTTCTTTCAAAATGAGACTAAAGTAATGGTGGTGGCAATAATAATGAAAGCAAAAGGTAATTTACCGAATTATTACTGGCACTCTACAAATGCACTCACACATTTGTATTCAGTATTTTTAAAAGCCCTATATGATTAGTACTATTATTATCTCCATTTTATGGATTTAAAAAACCTTCATAAGTAACTTGCCTAACGATACAGAACTCAGTTACTAAGTTTCAGTAAGAATCCAGGCTTGCCAGACTCCAAGCTGTAACCACCAAAATATACTGTGTTCCCCATGGTACTTCAACCAAACCTCATTTGTTTAGATCCTCGAGAATTCTGATTGATGATGCTCTGTCTTTATGGCATCATGTATCTTAAGTCACTTTGTTGTGATATGTGTACCTAGACAGAGATTTCCTATCTTGCATGATATATGGAAATAGTCCAAAGGCTATAGTTTGGAACATGAAGTTTCTAGTTCTGTTCTCTCTAACTTATTAAGACTCAAGAGGAATGGCCTAGAGGATCCAGACTAACAGGAGCACTGGTATTTTATTTTTCTGTCTGACATTTTGTTAGATATGGGTTCAAATGAGCTGCACCTGCAGAGTAATGAGGGTGTTTTACAGGCCATAACAATAGCCAACACTGTATACGCCAATGAGCACTGGACTTAGCAGACCTACTTTAACTTATTCCAGTTCTTTCAGTTATTAGTTGCATTTTTAGAAGGGGCTTACCACAGTATGTGGCACATAGTTGACTATTAATTAGATCATATTTCCTCCCTCACAGACAGAAACTTCAGATATCTGTTTTCTAGGCTAGAGACTGGAAAAGCTCTGCTGGGTAAAAAAGAATATTAGCAAATTGCCATATTGGACCTCTCCTATTCTTTTGACTTTCTGAATTTGGCCCATTTGTTGCTATTCAGCATTTTTATCTTCATTCAGAGATGGGAAGAGGAAGACAATGAAACATGACAATAAGATAATCCCCCTCTACTCACCACTATTTCTCTTGTTTTTAAAAAAAAAAAAAACAGATAAAAATATATCGGAACACAGATTCTAGAGTCACATATGTTTGGCTACTTATTTATCTTCTCTGTCCCTCAGTTACCTCCTTTAGCAAATGGAACTTACTCATTCAGCAAGTATCTTACTGTGCATCTGTCATTTGGAGGCGCTATATGAAGAGTGTGCTGATTTTCTATTGGTGAACAAAATCCGCGATACCTGTCCTCATACAGCTTACAGTCAAGGGATTGTATAGCATCAATCAACCTGAAAGGGCGTTATGAGAATTAATGATAGAAGATATGTCAAGCTTTGCCACAATATCTGGCTCATAGTAATACTTTAATAAATTGTAGATGATATTATTTATAAAATAATATTTTATGTGGATTTGTGTATTTCAGTTTTTTAGTTTGTTTATATTAATACATTTGTCTCTGAAAGTATGTCCCAGAGAGGAGCCATCTTCTTATTCCTCAGTAGCTCCATGCATCATCTTGAAAAGCTGAGAGAATGAAAAATGCACATACTGGATTCTTAAGGAGTTATAACCCATCTTCTCATGTGGCTTTTGGCTCTAGATCAGGGATGACAGGGGGGAAATATTCCTGTGGGAAGCATTTCCCTGGTTTCTTTTTATAGCTGAGAAAAAATTTCAATCCTTTCTCTATGACATGTAAAGAATTTGTGTATAGCATGATATCAAATCCAGTGTGATTCTGAACTGAGAATAAGAAATTGATTTAATAATGAGTGCCAGGAAAGCTAAAGCCAGTGTTACAATAGCTATTCTTTGGATATTGCAGTGTATTAGATGGTAGAAGGACACTGCGTTATGTAGGAGGGAGGCATTTGCAGTGGGCTTTTAGAGTGTACTTACTAGATTTCTAAGTTAGAGCACATCTGTGCATTTGCTTACCCACCCACACTCCATTTGTTTTTGTGGTTTCTCTCCTCAGTCGAGGTAAAGTTATCCATGTCTTGATTATTTTTTACAACTCCGCCATTTGCTCATATTATTTCTCATTAGTGCTTTGTTGCTGTCGTTATTACTTTGCTCCCAGTCTCCTTTTATAGATAGTTGATCTGACTTCTTTTAAGTCTTAAGATGAGGCTAATTTAGAGGAAGTAGAAAACAGACCTGTCAAACAAACGTGTGGCTTCTTTGAATTCAGAAACTCTGCCTCCCTACTAGAGCCTTGTCCGTGACTGATTTTTGGCATGACATTCGCCAGCAGTTTTGTTGCTGTGGGACTGCATTGTTACAGTGGAAAAGCAGTCAGCAGGTTCTGTCAATCGATGGCCCAGTTCACGTATTTAAAAAAATCTCACATTAAGCCCCCAGAAGACAATGTGATTAAATCTCAGCTTCTTTGCCCTTTACTGCGATAGTAATATGGGGTTCTGAATTGATTTCAAAAGGTATTAGCATATAATTACCATGTAGACTGGAATAAGACTTGCACTAGAGTATTGGCTTTCCCTAAGCAATTAGTCCTAGAAAATACACAGGCCCGGGCATGGTGCTGTCATATGAACATAAGGTTTATTTATAATCTTCCCTACAGTGCAAGTGTGGGAAGAGAGAGCCCATAGTGCTGTGCGGGGAACTGGAGTGATTTGTCAGGTTACAGCAGCAGCCAGAAGGAACAGCGTGGGTGGCACAGGAAGTGCACAATTGATTGGGCTAGCATGTAGAGCTGTGTCTTGTCTGGCTCCCACATCCTTCAAGATAGAAGAAGGACATTCCCTTTGTAACGTTTACCTGCAAGATAGCCCAAACTAAATCTTGTTATTTTGCATGTGTATATGTTTATTTAAGAATCGTTAAAAATGAAAAGCATGAATACTTCTCATATTTGCCAGGGATAAAGATATACAACTATAGGTAAACTCAGACCCTATGGTCTCGTAGTATTTATTTAATAATAGAAAAAAAAAATCGAAGCCATGAAAATTAAATGACTGACTCAGGTACATGTAGCTGCTTCATGATGTAACTCTTACCCAAGGGCCTTTACCACCTCAACAGTCCCAGCAGCTGATCCTTAACTCTCTGCTGGTTGCCAGTGAATTATTTTTGAAATCTTTTAGAAGACTTAGATGTGATTTAGAAGCGTAGAACAATAGTAAATAAATCACTACCATTTGTGCATCCATAGATACTATTCTTTCTAACTTACAGTCAGAAGCCTCTGTCATCTTAGATTGGCTTCTTTAGATTATTATCATACATAGATGTAATTTTATAAAGTGTACTTCTTAATGCAATAATTATGCTCTAAGAGACTTCACGTATTAAAATATCCCATTGTAGAAACACTAGTTTAATGAGCAGAAAGTAAAGGATTTCGAAATTGCAATAAAATTATTTTCCTACAGTTTTATTAACATAAATAGGTTTATAATAGCTAAAAGTGCAAAAATAAATTGACCAATTTTTTTTATTGTGGCAATGGTTTCATGAGTATCAAAACACATCAAATTTTACATTTTAAATACGTGATTTATTATGTGTCTACTATATCTCAGTTAAAAAATTTGTTGATCAGACCTGGCAAAAATAAATACAGAAAGAATGTCCTGAACATGACCTTCCCATATACAAAGCTAAAGTCACCCCATTT